GTGGTTTTGATCAGTAGCCATATGGAAAGCTGCTATATGGAAGGCTGCTGGCTCCCAAGTGGAGATTCTTTGCATTGGCGCCGGACATGCATGTACATGCATCTTCAATCAGTACTATGGAGGGATGGAGACAAGAAGCTCCTGAGGTTCTTAATTTGGAGATGGTGAATCTGGGAGTCTGACCTATCAGCTAGGCGGAAGAAAGGCCTGAAGTCCAGCTTATTTTGCACGAAGAGGCTCACTACACGGATTCGCTTTAGACCGAATGCGCTGGACGGAGCCAACCCCAGAAGGTTGGGCCACGGGCGTGGCTGACCTGTAGGCTGACAGTTGTCATTTCCAAAAAATGGACAGGCCACCACTTCCCCACTCCAACTCACTCTAAAGCAGTTCCTCCACCAGCCTCTATCTTTGTGGTACGCAGTGTATATTACGCGAAGGCAGTGTGAGCGTGTTGCATTGTTTTGTTTTGATGCCTGCAGCCACTTCCAGGATCGCTTTGATCGCCTCGAGAAGATGCTCTTGAAAATTCGCCAGATGGAGAGGCATCCATGCCTAAAAAGGCGGATGGAGCAAATCTTGCAGCATGCTACATACTTTCTACAGTACACTAGGGGCCCAAAGTGGTGCAAGATGTTCTCCGTCCTCCGTAGCACGACATGCCCCTGCGCTCAATGATAGAGCTCCCAGGATTCAGGCCAAGGTTAGGTACAAACCTTACCTCAGCTACCTAATACAGATGTCTGAGTGTTGAGGTTGGTCTGCTGCTGTCCTGTCAAGTTGTCCTTACCTGGCCTTGCTTGTTCAGAGCCTCCAGGAAGTACGTGTACAACGAGCAAAGAAGTAGAGACCGCATCCTGATAAACAGCTGTGGAATCGATGAATTCCAGCTGCTATGGGGGAGTTCACGCAGAGGTTCGAGCTGTGAGGGGCAAGGCAACGAAGCTCTGCGTGCAAAACCCCCGCTGTCAAAGCAAAAGCCTGGAGACCAACAGAGGAAGCCCTACATGGCACAGGCAATGCTAAGCGCGGAGCCTGCAAACCTGCATCACGACCTCAACCCCAAACCCAAACCCTGATCCATGCCCGAGCCGGACTGAATTCTGGGATCCTGTGAAACCATTATGCAAGACTTCCTACACCTTCACCCATATCCTACACCCGCAGAAGTCTGGGATTGTCAAAGCCCTGCGCGCCTTCTGCACGCGCGCTTTGGCGTCGAATCCTTCAATACAGAATATCACAATGAATCAGGGGCCTCCCGCCAGGAAACGTCTGGGCCACTCCAGCAGCAGCGGTGGGTCGTCTTTCCAGAGCAACCCGGTGGAGCCAAAGAGGCCATTTTTCCCAGGAGCGCGTGTTTGGTTTTTGGGTTGTTTTGGTTGGGTCTAAGCTCATTGGGAGATCCTGTGTCACCCCGACCTGCTTTGCTCAGGCCTCGGCAACCGCCATGGCTCTTAGCCACACCACGCACACCTCACCCCACCGCAGGCGTGTTTCTCACAAGCCTAGCAAGACTGGAGCAAGGGAAGGATGGCTTGTCATTGGATGCAGGGTTGGGGCAGGAAGATGGGACCAATGTCAAGCGCCCTTTCGCACGAGCAGCACTCGCGTCCGCGGCGGCTGTGGTGGCGGTGGCGGCGCCGTGACTGCCGTGCTACTACCTGCAAGCGACAGCAACAAACAGCATGGTGAAACAACTCGCCATGATTCTGAATGAAAAGCGGAAATAGCACGTAGCAGTACATACAAGGCAAAGCAAAGCAACAAGCCAAGCAAGAGCGCAGGGCATGGCCGCTTCTAAAAAGTCTTACTTGAGCAACGGCAATTCGAAACTCAAGCACGGGCACATTTCATGCGCAGTTTGGCATGTGCAGATGCCAGCCGGTCAACCGAAAGACCTTGAGACTTGTGGCACTCAAGCAGACGCGTCTAGAAGTGTTTTTGGATGTAGAAACGTCTCATCAAGTCATTTCCTGGCTCGGAGCTAAGGCCCCGCCAGATGAGCGTTTGGAGTCAGGCGACCATGGTCGGGCTTTGTCGGGCTCGGGCAAATACCCCAAGACGCAAAGACAGCAAACATAGTCACACCACCCGAAACCCGAGAAACCCGAAATGAGATGAAGAGGTACTTAGGGCACTCGGTCTGAGAAGCAGAGTAGCAGCCTGTCGCGAGTGGCCCCACTTCCCAGAGCTACAGAGCTGCAGAGCTGCCTACTCTTTGTTTCCCGGTTCAATGTCACGAAAGATTCTCAAGGCAGGAATTTGCAGCTGTTCTGTGTTGGCGGAGCAGGCCTGAATTCTGCTGACATTTTTGTAGATGCCTTTGGGGAGAACACGGAGTCAAGATATCCTGCGAAGGTTTCTTTAGTGGCTGTATGATAATGCTTTCACGGGCTGAGAGACAAAGTATTCTCTCATGCCCGCATGTTGAAAAGGCTCAGATGCTCGATATCCGAGGACAATAATCACTTCTCCATATTAATAAAACCATCCCCCCAATAATACATAATAAATCCGGGACCCTAAAAATCCCTCATGAGCATTTTAAAAGGGGCTGTACTAATTTTGAAAGGAGCCAGACCATAAT